CCCTCCCTTCCACCCCTTCCCTTCCCTCCCTTACCCCACCTTCCTCCCCTCCCTTTCCCTCCCTTTCCCTCCCTTCATCCTCTTCATTCCTCCCCTACCTACCTCCCCTTTTTCCCCCATCATGCAATCACTAAAAGTGCTTTGAACATTCAGCGGGCCCATAGAGTCGACTTGCCTTTGTTTCCTTTTCCCGACTTCGCGATTCAAATTACTTTCTCGCCATGGACGAGGGTTGTTCGTCTCTGTTCAGACGATCTTAAACCACCCACCACTACCATCCCCTGAACGCAATGCCCCCTCTTAATCACTGTATCGGACCAGAAAAGTAGTTTGCATACATTCATGATCAGGGTACGTTATGTTCCAGAGAGAGGGTTGTCCCACTCTGTTCAAACCACCTTCTTTAACAGCACCACTAGCTGTGAGAAATCGGACTGAACCCGCTCATGGGATGAGGTTTATCTTGACCAAATCTAACCGTAATTGTGGCAACATACATTTGAAGACAAGACAACCCTGTTGCCATCGAATCATCAATCCAATGGACCGATTGCAAAAGGGCATCCCTACATGCTGAACCTAGAAAAGGACGGTTGGAAAAGGTATAGTGGTGGTCTAACGAAAACCCTAAACCTGGAAAGGGGTTATGGGATATCAATGGAAATGTATACTACCCTAGACTACCAGCCAGGCCGTCCGGGTCACCCTGTTTTCCCGGACAGCCGGCCATGCAAGGACCAGGGGACTGTCCCGGAAAAAAAAAGAAAAAAAAATCCGAAAAAAAAACTATGTTGTGCAGAAATATAAACTGTACAACTTTTGCCTGAGGGTCACATCGAAATAATTTACCAAATTTAAAATAATATATATATTATATATAAATTGTAATGAACCCAAACTGGACGATAGTCGTCAGACGTTGAAGTACAAGTAGACTCAGATCTCCACAATATCTTCAGTAATCGTGAAAGTGATATTTGATGCACTGTCTCCTTACCAATAGATGAAGAGAGTGGAGGGGGAATAGACAGATGAGAGGGTGGAAGAGATAATCAGTGACCACACAACAGTAGCCCAATCATTACCGACTCCTTCTCCTGACTTCCCCTCGCCTCCACGTAATCAATCAATATACAGTAACAAGTCTGACCAGTCCTGATCACAAAGAAGTGCCACATAGCACTGTCATCTCATGGAGACAATGAAGACAAACAGCAATGCACGGTATCCACGTCAACCTCAAGTGAGTACCACTTCCAGCAATGCACGGTATCCACGTCAACCTCAAGTGAGTACCACTTCCCAATCATCCACAGATCCCGATCTCCATCCTTGTCGCAACCAGTCACCTCATGTAGACAGCATGGCCACTGCCACGTCAGCAGCAAAGACAGGTGGCATACGCCACATCAGCAATGTAGACAGGTGGCATGCACCACATCAGCAATGACGACAAAGCAATGAAGACCGATGGCCTGCGCCACATCAGCAATGTAGACAGGTGGCATGTGCCACATCAACACTGAAGACGGGTGGCATGTGCCACATCAGCAATGAAGGCGGGTGACATGCGCCACATCAGCAATGAAGGCCGGTGGCACGCGCCACGCCGGCAGAGGCTGGCCCTCAGCAGAGAAGGCCCCAGCATGCTGCCACAGTCCCGCGTGTCTACAATACCAGCGCACAACCAGCGTCAAACCAGCGTCGAGCCAGCGACCAGCTAAAGTCGAGCCAACGTCGACTCGTCGAGTCAGCATAGCAAGACTGAATGTTGACCTCTTCGAAACCAAGCCTTATGTAGTGTTTGACGAGGCAGTCTGGCCTCAGGTCTCCTTCCCACACTCGTACAGATTGACTCACAGCCGAGCGTCTGGATTGTATACAGTTGCAGACTTCCCCTTGGTCCTGATGTTGTCTGGGTACCTGCATACAAACAAGTGTCTGCGTCTGACCGGCGATCTGGGCTGGGTCCACTTTGACTTTGACTGTTGGGCGTCAGGCAGTTAAATTCGATCAATTGTTGCCCGCTTAGGCGCTGAATTTACTTAAGGGTCTTCTCTCCCCTGTGGCCTGGGTCTGAGTGGTGGCCTGGCAAGGCCCTTAGACATCCACGAGGCATACTTGCGTTACTGCATTCCTGCCGTCCCAAATTTCGGGTTCCATTGCAGAAAAACATCAATTTTCCCTCAACCCACATTCATATGCAATAACAATGTCAGGAGCAGT